GTTGAGAATTATTCTGGACATTTCAAATTTTCAGCTGCCCCCCTGCCATACATTATGAATGCAGCCTTATAGCCTCATAGTAGCTCATCCAATCCGAATGCAGCATTAATGATAGATGACTAGTTGGATTTGACTAATAGTCATATAGATAACAAGAACACAAAGGAAATCACTTATACTAACCTCTAATAGAAYACTAAATATTTCACTGAGGTAAATCCCTTTGCTGCAAGATGACTTGTACTAAGTGATGTTCTAGCAAGATTCTAGAGAGCATGCTTAATGAATTTAGTGAAGTATATGGTAAAAATATAAAAACTACTATTTTACACGTTTCTACATAGCTTTCTATACTACAGTTACTTACTCCTTATATGATAGATCTTTCTCTGAAATCACGCGAGTGACCGTGACAGGGCCATAGCCAGACAAACARTTTACTTAGGCAAATGAGTGGCAAAGCCAGGAGTAAGTAGGATAATTTTGAAATTGAGACTGTCACAAATGCGACCTACAAAGKTTTGTTAAGACATTTCTGACATTTTACCGAGGCAACTGCCTTGCTTACCTTATAGTGGCTACAGCCCTGCACAAAACAATGGCCAAGTCAAGGTTGGACTTCATAAAATACAGTAAATGTATGAACACATCAAGTTCAACTTCGACTTGCAACCATTGTTTTGGAGGTCACTGAAGAGAATTCAGGAAAGATCTATTCTGAGAAAAGTTTATCTGCCAATTTCATTGGCTTGTTTTAGCTTACTATGGGTTTCCTGTGTACCACAGGTATCCCAAAGGATTAAGAGAGACCTGATGATTGTTCATTGGTATTGGTGGTAGTACAAGGGTTCTCATTTTCATTATCGTAGCGTGGTACTGGATGACTAATGGTGCTACTTCCTGCTAAAGAAGTTCCAGCACAAAAAGCCACAGGACTGGATCTTGAGGGGGGAGGGGTAGGTGTTGGGGTCCCTTGGAATGTGAAACCATAGGCTGCGTAAGCTGCAGCTGAGGCTGCTGCTGCTGCTGCAGATGCTGCTGCTGAGGCTGCCAAGGCTCCTGAGCTGCCACGCCCTCTGCCGCGCCCACGRGATACTCTCAAAGGACCTGTACCTCTGCCTCTTCTGCTTGTGCTCCCTCGACCACGGCCTCGTCCTCGTCCTTTACCACGCTTGCCAGTGTTTTCTGTAGATAAGGGGCTGGCTGTTTCACTTATGGAATCTTCATATGTAATAGAGTCGTCATTGTCTGGTCGACCACTGAGAGGYGTAGGGACACCACTGCRTGCTGCRTCGATTGATAGAATGGATCCGTCACCTGATGCTAGTGATACTGTGGAATTAAACAGACAGCTGTTAGCAGCCTTTAGGATAATAATGATGCTGATGTTAATGATGATGATGATGATGATGTCTTCTATTTTGGTGTATTTTTGGCTATGAAACAATGTTTTATTCATTCATTTATTCAGCTGTCCTTCTATCCTACACCATTGAAAACAAAGCGAATAAGCATACAGGAAATCCATTGTATATTAAGCGATATTTCATTGCTTCTTTATGCCAGGCTAGTGAAGGCTAGTGCGTGTACACCAGACATTGCTTTGCAGGTCTTACCATTTTCCATGGTAAAAATATTCAAAATATTGTATAACTTGCATTTATCTCTCCCTTCATAAATCGTATTTTTACCTTCATCAAGACTCATGACACTTATTTCATCCATATCAGTCATTCCTTGACGTGATGTGTCYCCATTCATGCTGCTGATCTCAGAAGCTGTTTTAGCACTGTCTATTAACGTCTCAGGTGCTGGTGGGAACAAAGAGCTTTTGCTCTTACGACCCTTCTTGGCCTTGGGTGGTGGTGTGTCTTGATTCTCAGATAACAATGGGCTGTCAATCTGAGAAAAATGAAAATTTATAGCTGCTCAATTAGACAAGGCAACATACGAGCATCTTGAAATTTTATCGCTGTCCTGGATGAATCAAATGGAACATGACAATCATGTTCACTCTCATTTTTTTAGCATATAGACTYGATTTAACATTAGAGCCCGTGATTCTCTATCAGGTTTTAAGAAAGATCTTAAATCTTGRCTCTTCTGGCAAGCGTACAATAACCATCTCAGCTAATTATCTTTATGAGTAAATTCTATGAATATATTATTTATTTCTTTATATTTATTATTGTATTACTGTTGTGTAATTTATGCTCAATATCTGTAAAGCGTTGTTGAATCTTGTAGAATTGACGCTATATAAAATAAAGGTATTATTATTATTATTTATTATTATTATTATTATTTTAAAAAATTATTTACCTCTCCAGGTCCCCCTTTCTTCCTTTTCCTTTCTCTTCGCTTTCGTTGCTCATCTGCTTTTTTCTCCGCTTGTCGCTGTAGAACTGAAATAGGCAAGATAAAAAATTACTATCAACAAAGGGATGAAGTAGAAACCATTGTAGGGAAGTAGCTTGTATCTCATGGTTACACCAACTTGTCTGGTTTGACCAAGACAAGACCCTTTGTACCACAGGTATCCCACATTGATAAATACACAGGTAGCCCAAACCAAGCATTTGTCAATATGGCAATGTTTTTTGTTTACAAGATGTCATGGTACAAGCCCCTTTGTACCACAGGTATCTCACATTGATAAATACACAGGTAGCCCAATTTGACTACTTGTCAGATCGCTTGTATCTCAAGGTTCTGTTATCTGAAACAAATCACTGGTARGTTTTGTTCAGTCACAGGTAAGAGTTGCTGATATCTGCCCCAGTTGRCGCTCAATACACCAAGAGAACAAGTGCAAGAGTAACACGAAAGGGCAAATTTGAACCTTGAGCAATTCTAGATGTGTTGGTATTTAGTTCCAATCAATTGAAAATTTATCAACTCASACTATTGGAAATAAGAAAAAAATAGCCAAAAGAGGAGAAAATGTGCCAATCCTGGAGTTACTTCAGTTTTCGATATTCTGCGAACTCCAACATTTCAACTGCTTGTTGTTAAATTGGTTTTTCACTGCCGCCAGCCAAGAATATAAAAGGTATTGACTGATTATTTTTGATTGACGGCGACGAAAAATCAAATTTCAGSGTACAACTACCAAGTTCACAGAATATGGAAAACTGCAGTAATTCAGCAGCAGGAATCCTAGAAGCACTGTAACATCTATAGAGTCAAAATACAATATTTATTTACATTTGCTTTCCAGTTCTTCATCATCCAGTAACAAGGACACCACTTCTTTGGGTTTGAGAGCATCTGGTTTGAAATGGCCTCCTGAAATAACCATCTTTTGAATCTGTTAGGAAAAGAAGTGAAGTCAGATCAGACGACTACTGGGTGTGGCAAGGAGGGTAAATAAAGTTGGGTTGGCACAGTTGTTTATCGAGGATAAGTCTACAGATTAAGAAGGTGTTTGCCAACAGGTTCTTTCTTATCTCTAGAAAACTCTACYGCCCTTAATCTAATGGTATCAGATCAAAAAAAAAAAAAAGTTGGGTACAGGGAGAAGGAAGAAGGATAAGGGTTAAGAAGGAGTTTTTAGTCCAATAGTTGTACTAACCTCACTCTTCTCCTTAGCTCGCTGTAATATTCTCTCTTCAATAGTGTTCTTGGTGACAAGTCTGTAGACTGTTACTTGTCTGGTTTGACCAAGACGATGTGCACGATCCATAGCCTACAACAAACATAATGGAAACATCTTGTAAATACTATGGAATCCARGCTGAGTATTGGTCAATATGGTAATGCTGTTTGGTACGGGACCATTTTGTACAATACCCCACACCCCAGAAAAACAAATCAGCAAATACACAGGAAGTCCAAACCAAGCATCTGTCAATATGGTAACATTGTTTGCTTACAAGATGTCATAGTACAAGAAYCTTTGTACCAAAGGTATCCCACATWGGTAAATACACAGGTAGCCCAAACAAAGCATTTGTCAATATGGTAACGCCCCTCGCTCACAAGATGTCATGATACAACAGTGGCGGATCCAAGGGAGGGGTGCAGGGGGTGCGCACCCCTCCCTAGTTCAACTCTGTGCCCCTACTTCGAAGATAACCAATGCAAAATAATGTTTTTTCCCTTTGATTCTAAGGGGTGCACCCCCTCCCTGGGTTAACTTTGTGCAGTGCACCCCTCCCTGAACAAATCCCTGGATCCGCCCCTGTACAAGACCCTTTGTACCACAGGTATCCCCTTTTGGTAAATACACAGGTAGCCCAAGTTGACTACTTGTCGGATTGATTGTATCTCAAGGTTCTGTTAKCTGAAACAAATCACTGGTAGGTTTTGTTCAGTCACAGGTAAGAGATGCTGATATCTGCCCCAGTTGACGCTCAATACACCAAGAGGACAAGTGCAAGAGTAACACGAAAGGGCAACCCAAAAAATAGCGCTAATTCTCTCCGCATAATAATTCAGACAATTTAATAAAACAAGTCTTTGATTGATTGACTGATTGATCAACAACACTATAAGGTACAATCGAGGCTTTGYACTATTACATGATGGTAGCCATGACAGGAGGCAGGAGCAATTGAATCTGGTCTAAACTGATTTGCATGAGAAAGAATTCAGTTTCCCAAGGGAAAAGGATTTCATTGTTGTTCCTCTTGTCATGGCTGCCATCACATGATGTTGCAAAGCCTCTATATCCCTAGAAATAAGTTGACCAACATTTTGTTTACAGGTCTTACCTGTTGATCGACAGTAGGGTTCCAGTCGCTATCATAGAAGATAACCTGCAATATGAGTAACATAAAAAATAATCTTATATTAACATCATATGAATCAATCAGAAAAGTTAACAAAAATCAGAATTTTTGCGCGTCTAGAATTGTCTTAATTATCTACAATTTGACAAGTCATTTTTATTTATTACCGTATCAGCTGCTGTGAGATTAATACCCAGTCCACCAGCACGAGTACTCAACAGAAAGACAAAGATGTCGGCACTAAAATATATAAATAATAGACATTAAGTCAAATATTGTCTGATCCTATAACATCATCAAAAGCTATCAGGGGTAGACTGACCAATATTGTCCTCCAGATCTGGGAGGGAACAGTGGAATATTGCTAGATATACAACAGCTTTCCTGTATTCTGATTGGCTGTATTTTCTAAGGTATAGGAAAAGTGTATGTACTGTACTACTTAAGCTAGTGGAAAACAGGATACAAATCTTACTTGTTCTGGAAGTCAGCCACCATATCTCTTCGATCAGATATCTTGGACGATCCATCAAGTCTCATGTACTTATGTTTCCTGTACGTCATGTATTCCTGGGTAAGAAACAATACAATGCATCATAGACTTCTTAAACTTATTTTTTTACTCTGATGAAGGCCTAATGTCCTAAACAAATGACAGTACAGTTGAATTGTGTTCAAAAGTAGAATTGTGTGCGGTGATTGGTAATAATTGAACCAACCAAGTTTTTGCTTCAGCACATTTTTCATTTCATTGTAGCATAACTTTTAACTTGTTGTTTAACATACCTCAAGGATGTCAATCATTCTTGTCATCTGGGARTAAATAAGCACGCGATGACCTTGCATCTTCAGCTTTGTAAGTAGTCCATCTAGTACCGTTAGTTTACCACTGTCTGTTATCAATGCACTACGACCTGTGTGATAAACGAATAGAATTATATGTATGTTAATGACGAAAGATCAAGGGAAACACAGAATACAATAAAGGAAGGAAGGAAGGATGGAGGAAGGAAGGAAGTAGGGAAGGAAGGAAGGATGGAGGAAGGAAGGAAGTAGGGAAGGAAGGAAGGATGGAGGAAGGAAGAAAGGAAGGATGGAGAAAGGAAGGATGGAGGAAGGAAGGAAGGAAGGAGGAAGGAAGGATGGAGGAAGGGAGCAAGGATGGAGGGAAGAAGAAAGTAAGGAGGAAGGGACAAATGGAAAAATGGGATGGATAGAAGGGACGGGTAGAGGAAGAAAGGRCACAAGAGAAGTGAGAAAGGACAGAAACAAAGAGAAAAGAAATCCCTACTTACTAGGCATCTGGACAAATGACCATCCATTARGCGGCCTACTGCCTTCCAGCCCACCAATAGGTGATGGGAATAGCTGCATCTTGACCTGGTTAAGATCACATCCCTCAGGATTTCCGTACAATAGYAGGTTACGCTTCATCTCAGTTCCCCCAAGGAGAAGGTCTTGCGTTTCATAGGCTGCGCTTCGATCACTACAGTAACTAAGGTTGTTGCCTGCAACAAGCTAAAGGGGGAAACAACACACTTTTCAGTTGTATGAAATATTCTTGAAGAAAAAATATCAAGATTTCTAAACTCTAAAAGCTTTAAATAGTTGGACTTGCAAAACCAGGGCAATTCCTCTAACTATCTGTTCATCCAACCATCAATCTGTCCATCCATTTATCTATCCATTCATCTGTTCATTCTTCAATTCATCCACCCATTCACCCATTTTTCAGTCTGTCCGTCTATCCATCCCTCCCTCCATGCATGCATCCATCATTTATCCATCAATCCATCTATCAGTCCATCCATCTCTCCATTCCATTCATCTCTCCATACATTAACTCATCTATCCATCCATCTATTCACAAAGTAAACTTAAATGTAAAAAGTATCCCTTACCCTTGGTAAATAAGTTAACAGAATTGAGGGTACATCAGTAGGCTGTAGTTGTCTTTCCTGTGGGTACTTCATGGGCAATCCTATTGGTTCGCTCGGCATAGCATGTCTGGAAAAACCCGATTTTATAAATGAGTAAGATGGTTCCAGAAAACAAAGAAATAATACTCAAAGAATAGGTACGTGGTCTGGAATGGCAAGACCAGCATAAACTCAAGATTCCTCTTTTTCAAACTAGATTTTTTCAAAACTGTTCACTCCTATTGATTTTACGAAACAATATCTGAGTCAAAGCTTTAGTCAACTCCTCACCCCACCCCACAGAGAGAATGTTTGGTACCTCAAAATCTTCCTATGCACTCACCCTTCTGAAGACTTGCRGTGACGATGGTGGTGGTGGTGGTGATGTTTGTGATGGTGGTGATGTGATGTAGTTGCTATGGGGTGACTGCCAGTAGGAGAAAAAGGGCTGGTYGTTGAGTGTTTTAGAGGGGATTTCACAGTTGATTGGTTGTGACTTGTCCTAGGAGTTTTGTCATTTTCATCTAGTATAGGTTGAATGCGATGTGTTAAATGTGAGAGGATCTGCTTCRTGTAACCAGTGAAGACTAGAGAAGACAAAGTAGAACTGGTTTGGATGTTTGGAAAGGAAATTGGTTGGCTTGGCCAAAAAAGTAGTGCTTGTCTGTCTTGATGCCTGCAARGGAGAGATTTAAAGCATTAATTAAACAACACAACAGAAAACAGCAGTAACAACAGCAACAACACTCTACGGCAATAGCAAAAACAACAGCCGTAGCAACAATGGCAACAACAATAGCATACAATCATTGGTATTATGACTAAGGATTGTCTGACATACTTTGAATTCTTCTTTTCAAGWGACCAGACTCGTTTATGGTTCAAATGATGAACCTCTCGTAACAGAATCCACAGGAAAAGAATCCTGGAACAAACAAACAAACATTCCATGAGCCAAAACAAAWATGTTTTATCTAAAAATTTTAATAGTGCTATCTAAGGTTTCTGTTTAAAAAAACCTTTAAATTTTATCAAACCCTGAAACAACCTCTGGGCTGATCTAAGTCAGGGTATGGCTAACTCACAGATTGAATCCTGAAACAACCTCTGGACTGATCTAAGTCAGGGCATGGCTAACTCACAGATTGAACCCTGAAACAACCTCTGGGCTGATCTAAGTCAGGGTATGGCTAACTCACAGATTGAATCCTGAAACAACCTCTGGACTGATCAAAGTCAGGGTATGGCTACCTCACAGATYGAATTGGAATTTTACCACGTTAGGTTTTGCATAGGRAGGAAAACAATAAGACAACAAACCTGTATGTCAATCCTTTCTGCATCATGGCTGATGCTTGTTCAGGAGAAAGATTGATGAACTGAAGGAATGAGAAACATGAACTTTCAGGCACTAAAAAATAAAAAATATTTATGGGTAAGAAACTAAAAGCACATAGCATGCACAACATATTGAAGTGGCTTTTTTGAATGGCTCATTGCATTCTGTCACATACCTTGTTCATTTCCTTTTGAGTAGGAGTGTAAAGACTTGGTAATATACTCTGCCRTCCATATATTTAGAGTATTATACAAGATTCTGGAAGAACGAATACATATTTATTCATCTTCATAGGAACGTTTATTGTTATCATCATCGTCATCATCACCTAACAATCATCATCGTCATCATCACCTAACAATCATCATCATCATCATCACCTAACCATCATTGTCATCATCACATAATCATTGTCATCATCACTTAACAATCATCATCATCCTCATCACCTAACAATCATCATCGTCATCATCACCTTACAATCATTATCATCATCATCACCTAACAATCATCATCGCTACCATAATCTTCATTATCATCACCACCATGATCATTGCCATCAACATCATCAATAACATCTCCATCATCATCATCATTAATATCAATATCAATATATCGAATAGGGCCTGTTTAGTTTCTCATTATCATTTTTATATTCCACTTTTTAGAATGCAAATAATGTTGTCAGGTCTACTGTAATAAATGAATATAAATACTTACTTCATACAGCCTGGAAACATTCTGTCTACAAGACCTGAAGCAGATAAAAAGCAATGTGATATTAGAAATGACCATCTTACATGAATATCTCATGAAAAAGGGAAAATGTTTGCATTCGATTATTTATATGTTGTAATGATCTTGTGGGAATGACTTTCTGGTGCAAATAAAATTATATTCTTTTTTCTTTCTGCCCCCACCATCCCTTCCTTTCTTAAACGGGAAACACTGGTGGTGTAGCGGTGAGAGTGCTTGCCTCTCACCAATACGACCCGGGTTTGAGTCCCGCTGAGCTTGGTTTCGTATGCGAGTAGAGTTGTTTGTTGGTTCTCTCCTGTGCTTCGAGGGTTTTCCGGGTTCCCCGGCTATCCTCCCTACGAAAAAATCAACTCCTAAATTCCAATTGGAATTACAGTGGATGAATAGCTACTCTGTAGAAATGCCATTTATTTATTTATTTCATTTATTTATTTATTTATCTTTCTCATCCATCTTTCATCTTTTTCTTTTCCCTCCCTTCCTCTCCACATCCTTTCCTAATTCCTTACTTCCATCCTTTCATTTATTTTCTCTCTTTTTTTTGTCTTAGTAAAAATATGGGTTTCTTGTTTTTTTCTTTTGCGAAACACGTTTGGTGCTAATATGCCGTCTCTCACCAATGCGACCCGGGTTGATTCCCAGGCTCTGAGTCATATGCGAGTGGTTCTTTCCTGTGTTTTGAGGGTTTTTTGCCTGTTCCTCCAGTGTTCCACCCTCCAYGAACATAAACTTYTAAATTCTAATTCRATCAGTTGTCTTATCAAGTGGAWTGTAAAACCYGTTAAGCTATCAATCCACTGTGGAGTAGTAAATCAGATTAGTTTTTTGTGTCTTACCTTCTCTGTAGATCAGCTTAGGCACAAGGAAACATCCCAGCTGAAAAGACGAAATAGGGGAACAGACATCTCTTCTCTCGAACAGTTCTGGRTGATTACATACCTATGATGAAAGATTTGTTATCATGATTGACACACAACTTTACAGGGAGAAAGAAAAGGATAACCCACGTTACCCTTCTTATCATGTGGGTGTCGACTTAACTCCCCCCTCCCTCCATGAAAGGATAACAAAGAAGTAAAGAAAAAAATTAGGATGACAGGCCAAMACYAAWAGAAAACAACTTATCAYTGCCTCTCTCCCTCTCCCCACAAAAAAAATAAAAAAAATAAAAAAAATACAAAAACAAAAACAAACAAAAAACTAAAACAAAACAAAACAAAACAAAACAAAAACAAAGAAAGAAAGAAAAACAAAAGAGGAAAGGAAAACTAATTTCTTACCTTTCTGAACTGCATAACAAGATTCATTAAACTACTAGTTGTTGCATTTGCAGCAGATGACGATGAAGCTGATGTATAGACCAAATCATCTATGGATATCTTGTTCTTAACAGCCTGGTACAGCCATTTTTGTCTGGTAGTGAGTCGGCAAACTAACTTGATCTCAATCTGAAAATAACCAGGAAGTGGTGACACTTAGAACACATGGAAGAAAGAAATGAAAGAAACAGGAGAGAAGGGGAAGCTGAATGCATGGAAGAAAGG